TGATTCGCTAAATCGTTCGATTGTGAGTTGAGATTCAATTGAAAGTTCATAATCTTAAGGTTTAGGAGGGTCAAGGCTTCTGCTTCAACTTGATTCTTTGACTAGGTTCAGGGTTTGGTGGAATACGAGTTCATATCTTCATGCAGTTTCGTATCACTAATAAGTCAACACCCATATTGCAGTACTGCTGTCATTCACATCATTGAGTATAGATGTTCGTCTACTTGTATGGTGCATTGCCTTGTATTTATTTGTCTTTCTTATCTTGTTAGTGACTAATTGCTGCACAAGTAGATGATAAAGCAGCGTGCTTGGACTTACTGCCTCCAGAATAGAATAGATGCAAACAATAATTAACATTTCTTAGTTTTCTTGAGTTCAATATCCATGATTTATTCTCCAAACAGCATCTGGAATGAAGTTGTTTGAGCCAAATTGCCAAAATACAAATTAACAAGTCAAATCGTCAAATACAAATTAACAAGAGTAAACAATAAATTCTTACAAGTTTAGAAAAGAATAAATAATTCGTCCTATATGTCTTCTGATATTTGAGCTAAATCATCTTGAATTTATTCCCTCACTTTTTTCTCCATTTCTTGGCTTGCATTGAATTTAGGACTAATTTAAATAGAATTCAGTTAGTAGATTGTTAGACTCCAATGGGATAAATTTTGGTATAGTTGGGACGAAGACTAATTGTGTGAAAACTATTTTCTAGACTTACCCAAACACATGAAAATTGATGGGTAAGCAAACATTTTCCCCGAAAATGAGTTCCACAGAAAATATTTTCTCAAGGAAAATATTTTACCCCAACCAAATGGACCCTAAGTGTAAGCATTATTATGATCTTAGTTTTTGTTATTCCAATTATGTCATTATTAATCAATGATTGAAGTTTTATATTATACTCTTTTTAATTTATTTTGATAATTAAAATTCATATCAAAATTTATATTTATAACATTCTAAATACTCCATACGCGATTTTTCTCAAGTATACGTGTCGAGATTGAGTATAGGGTGTTAAGGGTTGAACCCACAGAGAAGATTGTCAATTATCGATGATTTTTGACATCCTTTATTATTTAGACTATAATAAGAGTAAGAAAGTAAATCTACACTATAAACATGAGATGAAAGTAATACAAATAACAATAGAAACCTCCTAAAGGTATGGAATTCCTCATTACTTTTGCAAATGATTTTACCGATCAAGTGAATGCTATTATTTTGGCTAGTTATGGTGTAATTTCTTAATGTATGTGAAACCCACTCTTATAGTGAATCAACTATACTTGTAACTAATCCATACATACTCTCTTGGTTATAAAATTAATTACAAGTTCATTTCTTTTATGAAATTATATGAAACACGCCACTAAAACCACAAAGGTGCATCTCTACTCTTGTGAGTATATTCTCTAGATTTATCTCTTCCTTGAGCTAGTGTTAACATCCAATTCTCGTTGCAAACTTAACACCTTAAAATTATCAAACTTATGGTTGGTTAATCATGATTAGCTAAGCAAAAATAATAAATAACTTGCTCAAAATAATATCATCGAATAACCAAATAAACATCATTAACAATATATAGAAAGTTCATCTATAACTCTAGGCATAAACTTTAACTAAACATGAAAAATAAGATCCAAACTTGTATTATATCTAAACATGAAATCAAATATAAAAGAGAAAGTGCTAGGAAAGAAATCACCCTTGTCACATGAGCTCTAACTCTCCATTTTTACTCTTCAAACCTTCATCCAAATCTAACTACAAATACAAGAATGATAAACTATACTAACTATACTATACTAATGAACTAAGAAAAAGTAGTGAAGACTACATTTTTTGTGGAATTTCTCTAACCTTCCAAAGTTGTTAAATTGTTCTCCAAGGCCTCTATTTTTAGAGAGATTAAAGCCACAAATAAGTTGTTTCCAGCCAAATTGGCTGGTGAAACTCTCAAAAGTTGTTTCTACAAGATTTCACACTTGCTTGCTTATTTCCAGCCAAATTTCGTGCAGAAAAATTGGTCAAAAAACTTGTGGGAATAAAGTACAAGTTGCAATTGAGCGTGGCTTTGAAAATGTGACCTGAGATCGCGTATTGAACCCTAGTTTTGCCTTTTTGCAGGTTTGCTCATTTCTGATCAAGTCTTGTTTTTTCTCTATTTTTAGTCCAATTTTAACTGACATTTTATCAATCATGAAGGCTGAAATAGCTCTTATACACAACATGAAAGTTGTGATCCTTTGAGTTAGCTTTCCAATGCAATAAGAATCATCTAATTTGAAACTCTGTAGACTGAGAAATGATCAAAATACCCTCAACCGGTCAACCTTCTATTTCAACTTTTGACAACAAAATTGCACTTCTGTATTTTGACTTTTTGACAATAAAAATGACTAAACTAGACTTCGAAGTCTTATAAGAAATGTAGAGCAATATGTTAGCTTCAAAATGGCATAAGAATCTTCTCAATCCAATGCATGTAACTCAGGATATAGCTAAAATACCAATAGGTGTCAAAGCTAGAAAACTTCCTTCTTTTTATTCTTGATTGCATTCCTCTTTTGAACATTTGGCATTTTATGTTATCTTTAAAACTATTTCAAATAATCAATAATCATTCAAATATTTTCTAAATTCATGCCATTTGATAACTGAATCTCTAAACCTATAAAAACATGAAATTTTTACCATTAAAATCCATAAAAATGTAATTTTTACACTTAAACCATAAAATGTATATTTTCACCAGAATCCTAGTTCATTAGCTATAAAATTAAATAAAACATACTAAAACTAACTAATAAAACACACTTAAAATACTCAAAATTCACACTTATCAAAAATCTATTGATTTAGAAGAATAAGCTGGATCTGGTCTTAGTTTTCTATTTATACAAAACACCCTTCTCTCTAATAATTAGATTTATTGCATTTTAATAATAGCAATAATTGTAGAGTTAGGAAAAAATCTGTAACCTTAATTAAATTTGAATTATGAAGAGAATAAACAAAATATGACATTCCAAGCCAATGTGTCTCTTTGCATTCTAATTTCAATTTTTTTATTTCCATTAAATATTCATGATTAGTCATAGCCTAATTAAGTATCAAGTCTTTAAAAATATTACTATTGATACCAAAACATGGTGATCTTAGGACAATAGATTCTGCCTAAAAAAATAAAAATAAAATAAAACAAAATAGAAGAAAAAACTCAATTATTTCTATCAATGAAATTTTAATTCTCAAAAAAATGAACAGTTAGATGAAAAATATTTATATATGTGAATCATCTGTACTCCATTATTAATAGAAATAACATAGAAAATAATATAAAGAATTCAAAAAAGAAAAAACTCCTCTTACCTCTCCTTTGAATTTCGAATTCTAGAGTTCTCATCTCCATGGCTGTAGCGGCAGCCCTTCAGCCACATGCTGGAGGGCTTGCATCTCCATCCAAAAAGTCGTTTGCTGAAATTCTTCGACAGCACCCTTGACCAACACCAGTGGTAAATCATGGGAACAACCACTCTTTCAACTTGACTAGCCTTCCATTGTGAAGGAAGCTGCTATTCATAAGGGTAAACTTGCTGTTTTCTTTTCAGAAGATGTCCAACGCTATCAAGGCCTTTCAAGTTTGCGTTAATAGGGAAGTTCTCCAAAGGAAGGTCGAATATGGAGTCACTGCAAAGGGATTTTAAGGCAGTCAGATTCAAGGATGATTATTCCATTGGCTTGCTTGACTTTCATCATAATTTAGTATGGTTTGATTGTGAAAAGGATAACCTTTGTTGCTAGTTGCGTGGGGTATGGGTTTTTCAAGGGTTTCCATTGCGGATTTTCCAGTGGACGCTTTTCTTCCCTATCGGCGCCAAATCACCTGTAGTCCCAATCTGAGTTTCGCTTCCACACCTGCCAGTGCATCTCTTTAGCAAAGGGCCACTCTTCTCAATTGCCAGTCTCATTGGGGAGCCGCTAAAGATCGATGCTTCTGCTGCATCTTTAACCAAACCAGGAGTGGCAAGGTTTTGTGTCGAAATTAACCTTCAGGAGGAGTTGCCTGACAAAGTTTGGATCGATAATAGGCACGCAAGCTTTTTGGCAATATATTGAGTACAAAAATCTCCCAGATTTCTGCTCCTTTTGTCACAAGCTTGGCCATAATGAGGCCAATTGCCGTAATAATCCAGACATTCCTCAACAATAGAAGCAACATAATGTGGTTCAGAAATCAGGAAATCAGCAGAATTTGATACCAAAGACTTCCATAACACAAAAAGAATCTAGGCTGGACACTTCAGGAATCGAGGTTCATCAGAACACCGTGGATCAGCAGCAGCTAGCTGAGAATGTGAAGGGGTCTTTACTTGATAACCAGGCAGCTAACAAGTGACAGTAATGTCGCAAACTGAACATGCCACTATTATGAACATGGTTCGAAGACTCAGCCGAGACCGAGACGACTCGGCCGAGTCGTCACCATCTCGGCCTAGTCCGAGATGAGACCGCGACGAAACGATATCGAGATACGTGACTCCCCGAGACGTCACCGTGAAAGGTTGAAACAGCCGAATCACAGTGAGTCAACTCAAATTTTTATTATTTTTACTAATTTTTAAATTATTTTTGCTTATCATTTTTTTTTACAATTTTTAGAATATTAAATATTTCAAAAATTCGCGTCTCACAGAGACCACGACCGATATGTCGAGATTGATATGAAACGGTCCAGGCTGCGACCTTGAACCATGATTATGAAGGATATAGGGAGATTAGGGTCTGGCAAAACTGTAGATGGGAGCAATATGCCAGCGGTAGAGAATCAATGGGGTGCAAAATGATAGTAGGATTTGCTTACTCAAGACCAAAAGATGACACCTTATGGCAAATTGGGATTGCTACCTTATTTCAGAAGACCAAAACCAACAAAGTGAATTACTCTAGTTTGGTCCTTACCACTGTTTCCCTACAATAAGATGAATGTTGATGGCTCGTCTCTTGGGAACCCAGGACATTCGGGAGGAGGGGGCATTATTAGGGATCATCATGGGCAGGTAAGGAGCGCCTTCTCATCCTTCTATGGTTTTCGCACAAATATGGAATCGAAGGCCGGGGCTCTACTGGAAGATCTTCAACTTTGTCTATCGCTTGGATTGACAAAAGTGATAGTGCATATGGATTTGGTACAGTTGCTTAACTTACTGAAGCAAGTCATAGCTATGCCTTGGAAAGTTGATGTTCAAATTAGGCGAATACGGCATGTGTTAACCCAAGCAGAATTTGTTTTGGAGCACTACTACAGGAGACCAATTCAGCAGTTGACGCGCTCGCGAAGCAAGCAGGTACTACTCGACAGTCAAATGTTTATAATGCTGCCACTCTACCAAAGCGAGTGAAAGCAATTTCGCGTTTGGATGTTAGTCAATACCTTTATATTCATTCAGTACATTGATTGTAAGGGAGTAGTACTCCTAGTTCTAAATAAAAAACTGTTTTATCAAAACTACTTTCTTAATTGTTTTCCGATTAATCTAAAGGTCAGGTGGTGCCCCTTCAGCTCCCATTTCTTTTCCCATTAATAAAATAACAGGGCTGGTTGGTGTGGGGTTTTGCCAAAAAAAAATAATAATACAAAAAATTCAACTTCAAAAAATATACATATCTTCATTTTCCAAAAAGCTGTGCATATAACTTCATATTGAGGAATTTCATCAAGATGCTAATAAATTCAACTTACATAACATGAAAAATAATAATGGTAGAGCATGCCACCGATATTTGTGTAAACAATTATTTTATTATATAGTTTTACCCTCTTACCTCTCCTACACCTTTTTCATACCCAACTGTCAGGTACAGGATTCAAAACTTAAACAGAAGAAAACTCTAAGATCCATGTGATTCCCACTGAGCCAACTGTAGTGGTTAGCAAATAATTAACTTTTGCTTAGCATGTAAATTTAGGTTATCCAAATCTAAAAGAAAAATAAAAAATTATTCATATATCTAATTAAAAATCAAACAATCATATTGATATTGTCATAATTTGTTTGTCATGGAAAGAAAATAAAAAAAGTAATTAGAAATATCAATATTATACATATCAATCAAAATATTGATACTTTTGTCAGATCATCTCATATTTGGTCAAATCTTTATTTTTAAATGTTAATTTTTCATCTTCTTTAATTTGTTGTTCTTAAAACCATCATTTTAAATTGAAAGAAACTGAATATATCCCCATTTGTTAAAAATTCTTTGGAGATTTTATATGAAGATGTAAAATTTTGTGGAATTTTTTTCTTTTAAAATAAATTTATTAAGAATAATTAATTAAAGAGGATAAAAAATTAAAAAAATAAAGAGTATGAAAATATTAAATTTTTTAAAATAATTTTTACAAAAAAATTAATGTATAAGAAATATTATATTTTACGATATTATAATCAGACGCAAAACACGTGACTTATTATTATAATAGTTGATGACAAGACAAAATGTTAAGCATTAGAGACTAAGTAGGATGTGGTCTTAGTTTTCTATGTGTCTAAAATACACTTCTCCCTAATAATTAGATTTGTTGCATTTAGTACTTAGGGAAAAATGTAACCTAAGTTAAATTTGAATTGAAGGCAATAAAAAAAAATACAACACTCCAAACCAATATGTCTCTTTGCATTCTATTTTTAGTTTTTCTATTTTCATTAAAAATTCTTGATTAGTCATAGGCTAATTAAGTTTCAAATCTCCAAAAATATCACTATCAATACCAAAAATGGGTACTCTTAAGGCAATAGAATCTTTATCATTTCTACTTTATGTTAGATTCTACGAGACCCCAACTTTCATCCCTTATTGGAAGAAAGGAAAGGAAATGAATGGTTTATAAGTTTGGGGGTTAATTCCACTTTGTCCCCTCAAACTTTGGACGATTACCCACTTTAGTCTCTAAACTTCAAAATGAGACACTTAAGTTCCTAAATTTATAAATACCTCCCAATTAAGGAAAATTGTTGACAAAATCCTGAATGTTGTTGGTGGTCGAAGTGTTCCATTTCATAAGTTAAGGGATTTAAGTGTCCCATTTTATAAGTTTAGGGACTTAAATGTCCCAATTTGTAAGTATAGGGACTTTAGTATCCCATTTTGAAGTTTAGGGACTAAAATGGGTAATCGTCCAAAGTTTGGGGGACAAAGTGCAATTAACCCTAAGTTTGGCTCCAAAGGCTGCTAAACAATTTGGGTTAACTATTTTTGACATGCGGATTTCGTTCAAAAGCTATTTGGGCCATTCCTCTGGCCCAGGTCATTACATATTGTGCTTTAAAAAAGAAAACAAAAGAAAAAACTTTACTATGTCTATCAATGAAATTTCAAATCTCCAAAAATGCACATTTAGATGAAAAAAGTTTATAAATGGTGAATCCTCCATACTACATTGTTAACAATGAAATTTCAATTCTCCAAAAATGCATAGTTAGACGGAAAAAGTTTATATATGATGATCATCCATACTACATTGTTAACAGAAATAACACACAAAATAATACAAATAGTTCAATTTTAAAGAATATAACTCTCTTCATTTTATACAACTCATGTAATATGAAAAACAGTAATGGTAGAGCATGTAACTGATATTTATGCAAACAATTATTTTTTATTTTATTTGTTTAAACCTGGCCACTATGTCAACCCCTATTGTCAGCAAACAATTAACTTTTGCTTAGCATGCAAATTTAGATTATCCAAGTCTAAAAGAAAAATAAAGAACTATTCATATATCTAATAAAAAATCAAACAATATTAGCGGTATTATCATAATTTGTTTGTCATGGCAAAAAAAAAAGAAGTAAATAGAAGTATCAAAATTATACATACCATTAAAAATATTATACTTTCGTCAAATCATTTCCTATTTGGTCAAATCTTTATTGTTTCTAAATGTTAATTTTTCATCTTCTTTAATTAATTGTCCTTAAAACCATTATTTTAAATTGAAAAAGACTGAACATGTCCTTATTTGTTAAAAAGTTTCTAGAGATTTTATATGAATTTGTAGATCTGATATTTTGTGAACTTTTTTCCTTTTAAAATAATTTTTTTGAGGATAATTAGTTAAGAAGATAAAAAATTAAATAAAAATAGAGAATTTCCAAATATGAAATTTGTTAAAATATTTTTCACAAATAAATTTTAATATGTAAGAAATAAAAATTTTATGGTATTATAATCACGTGAAAAACACGTGACCTATTACTAGTGAATAAAATATTTGTGTTTTACCTTTTTTGGATAGGAAGGTGTTGGCTAGTATTGTCAAATTAGAAGTTTTATTAGGCTCGCTAAATAGAAGTGTGTATATGTGATCATGCTTCATGAGTACATTCATATCTTAAAAAACAAAAGGAAAGGTAAAACTGGATTTATGGCTTTAAAATTGGACATGGTTAAAGCCTATGATAGAGTTGCATGGACATTTATTGAGGCTATCACGAAGAAAATCGGTTTGTGTGATATATGGATTCACGGGATTATGGAATGTGTAACTACGGTCTCTCATGCTTCAATGTCAATGGCAAAAAAAGAGAATACATTAAATCAACAAGGGATTAGAAAGGATTAGACTAGGGGCCCCCTGTCTGTTCTTGTTGATTTCTGAAGGCTTCTCTAATCTAATCTGCTAAATCAGACAGCTCGTTAGAAAGACGTCAAAATCAAGAACATAGGTCTTTCTATAATACACTTGTTTTTCGTTGATGACTCATTAGTTTTTTGTAAAGCTAGTACGGTAGAATCAGATGCAATTATGCAAATCTTGAAGAAGTATGAGAAAGCTTCAGGCCAACGAATCAATGTGGAAATGTCCTCTGGTTTTTTCAACAAAAACATGGGCCCAGGAGACACAAAGGAGGTGTACAGCAGGTTGGGAAACATGAAAGAAGTCACACAAGGAAAATACCTTGGATTGCCCATGGGGATATCCAGTTTAAAGGAAGAAGTTTAAAAGAGCCCACATATTGCAAGTCTTGCTTCAGATTTTCTAAAAACCTTTCTAAAGACAAGTAAAATAATGGCGGATTATTAGTGCGGAGCTGAAAAAGAGAAGAAAAAGATGCATTGGCTAAGTTGGAGGCATCTATCAAAACCAAAACTCGGCAGGGGACTTGGGTTCAAGGATCTGCACCAATTCAATTCAGAATTATTAGCAAAACAGCTCTGGAGGAATAAAACTAATCCAAATCTGATGGTCAGCAAAGTGCTTAAAGCTAAATACCTTTTTTTTTTTTTTTTGGGTTCCAGGGAAGACTAAACTAGTCCTTAACAAAGTAACAAGTGTAGTAACACCTTACACATCAAAACTAAGTCTACTTCGCAATATTTGTGGCAGTTCCACTAGAATATGGAGGTCTGGCTGTAAACTCAGACCGAACTTAGCCAAACAATCCGCACATTGTTTTCCTTCACGCCATCCAACAAAGCTCTACTTTCTTGTGAGGTTCCAAAAAATGCATCTTGTATTCGGCGGAGCTTAATGAGCGCAAGATATCTGCTAAAAGCTAGACGCCACACAACAAAGCTCTACTTGCTTGTGAGGTTCCCAAAAATGTATCCTGGATTTGGCAGAGTTTAATCAGTGGAAGATATTTGCTAAAAACTGGACTTATGAAGCGGGTTGGAAATGGAAAAAAGCATTAAAATATGTGAAGACAAATGGATCTCGTCGAGTAAAAATGGAAAAGTCAAATCAACGGGACCTGACAACTGCAGTGTTTCCAAGGTGAATGAACTAATCAGCAATTACAGGTGGAATAGAATTCTTATTAACAAATTATATTGTAAAGATGATGGTGATAGGATTGCTGCTATTCCAGTCAGTTTGAGTGATAGGGAGGACTGTGCATACTGGAAATTCAGCTCATCTGGTGAATACACAATAAACCCTAGATGTAATTTGAGCATAGCAGACGATAAACATCAGGATCAAAGAAGAAACCAGCAAGGAGGGCCAAAGTGATGAGAAGATGTGAAAACTCAAGGTAAACACAAGTAAAAACACTTTCTCTGGCAATGCCCAAACCAATCCCTCCCAACAAACGAGATGATATTCAAAAGAACAGGGGCTGGGGAACCGTGATGCAAAGCTTGTGGATAACGGGTGGAAACAATAGAACACATTCTGTTATCCTGCAGAAAAGCTGAAGAAGTTTGGAAACATTCCCCGGTGAGGTGGGAAGGCCTAAATGATTGCAAAGGGAACTTCTGGAAATGATGGAAGCTAAAAACAGGAAAAAAGGAATGGACCACATTGCTCTCACTGCAAACATTCTCTGGTCCTTATGGACAGAGAAACAAATCTAAGTTCAATGAGGTCTTTACCACATTTGATACATAGCACATGTACTTATTTATTGATAATCAATGATACTCCTGATGCTTTTGACCCAAAAAAAACAGCGTATGTGTTTGTCTGCTAGTTTTTGGGAGAGGATCATACTATTTTGCCTTTTATTTGGAGAATAAAGTAAGAATTATAAAAAAAGTGACAGAAACAGTTTACTCCTGACCCTCTCAGCCTTTATATATAGTACTTAGTATGTTGGGTTTGTGGGCCAGCCTATTAGTGGGCCAAACCACAAAACCAAACACTTAGTTTAAGTGAAGTTTTGACTTAAAAAGAAAGTCAAAAGAAAAGGGAGCAGTAGCCGCACACATTTTTCTACGGCCCTTGTGTGTGAGAACAACAAGCCAGCCGCCACTTTTGGGAGAAAAACGAAGAGAGAGAAAAAGTTTAAAGTCTTGATTGGAGGGTGATTCGTAATTCGATTGAGATGAAATGTTACTCACGCGATTCTCTTGTCAAGCTCTACTCACATATTGGTTTAGATTTCCGATTTTCT